CTAGTCACTTTTAATAAGTGAGTCATTGCGATTGAAACAAATCATTTAAACGGTTGATTAATTCAGGAACGAAACACCGTCATGTTGCTCAGAGACGCAAAAAAAATTATTTTTGTTGTCGAAATAGAGCAAAAACAGGCAATATGGTGTCTATAATGCAAGTCTCTTAATTAACTTCTTGTTTTTTGAACTGTTGTAAAAAATCAATATTACATTTGTAATCATTGGGAGAAATTGCATGTGTGCGATATTGATTAACTATATGATATGATCTAGGGCTGTGCAATTAATCGCATGCGATTGTCATGCGCATCGTCAGTAAAGCCGGTCCCGTGATTAGTAGTAAATCTCCATCACCTGCTTTCAGATTGAGCGGCATTCGCTACACAGAGCTGTAGTTCACTGACAATTAGGCAATATCGCGTTCATAATCGCAGATGAATTGCATTCGGTTATGAACGCGATATCGCCTAGCTTGTCGGTGAACTACGGCTCTGTGTAGTGAATGCCGCTCAATCAAAGCAGGTGATGGAGATTTACTACCAATCACGGAACCGGCTTTACTGACGAGATGCGCATGACATTCGCATGCGATTAATTGCACAATCCTAATATGATATAAATATATACATTTTCTGTCCCCATATCCCCATATATTTTGTGATCATTCTAAATGTATTTTAATTGAATCATGCAGTGACAGACTAGACTTCACGTCTAGTCTTCACGGAATGTGTGCGTGCCATAGACTGTATAGGTGCGTGCACTCTGTAGTAGGGATGTGCGCGACGACTAATTTGACTGTAGTTTAAACGGAAGTTTTGTATCCGACTAGTCTAAAAGTAAGAAAACCCCAAAAGATGGTAAGAAAAAAAAACTTTGTGCGAGTATATAATAGCCTACATTTGAAATACTTAATCTATGAATCACACTGTCAAATCCCTCAATGAATTCCGCTAAAAATAGGTCACAATTATGCCGTACGCTTGCCTCGCATTATCATCATTTAATTTTAGGCGGTCGTTAAAAAGGGAAAAAAAAGCACACACTCAACGTCAGCCAATGCTTATTTATTAAAATCAGCTGGGGAAATGCAGAACAATGGAAAATCAATCAATAGCCTGACAGAATTCTTCATCTTCATATAACGTTAGCCAATATTTTAAAACACAAGTCAAAAACAATAGGAAATTTTATCAAGTAATAGCATTATAACGGCTTTTAAAAACATACTTCATGTAGGCTATATCATCTAAAAACAAAACTAACAAAAAGAAAGACAGGACCTGAGGCGATTAACAATTCCTGCACTTGAAAAAACGCGCTCTGCAGGAACCGAAGTCGCAGGCGAAATAACGAAATAAAGAGATAACGAAAAGCAAGCCGATAGTTTCAGAAAGCGCCTGGACATCCTGCACCACCACCGAAGTGGGTCTTCGTTAGAGGAATAGACAGCGCGGACAGGTGTGCGAGGTCTGAGGTAAAATTGAAGTTTACGCGCAGATACACTTTTAAAAATGTATTTTTCAAATGTTTTATTTTAACTTATTTCAAATGTTTTAAATGTAACAATGGTAATTTGATGGTAACATAAAATGATGGTAATTTGAATGATAATTGTCATGTAATCAACTATTGTTTTCAGTGTCGACTAGTAGGAGCTGTACCGTTTAGTCGACTAGACCCGCACATCCCTACTCTGTAGGGGTGTTTTGAATGGTTTTTGCAAAATACTCGACAATGTCAAATTGCACATCGTTAAAACAACAATTACGATATTATCGCAGACGATATATATCGCACACCCCTACTTGTTGTTAATGTATTTTGAATGCAAAAGGCACTTAAAAAAAAAATTTAAAAGTTGATTTGTTATGCATGTTTATTAAAAACAAGTTTTGTAATAATTGTTCCGGACCTTTGACATTAATGAAAATTCAGATTTGGACCTTTGAATGTAGACTTTAAGAACCCTGGCTTAGTTTATTTTAGGAAATTCAGGCCAGGTTCTCTTGTGTAAGAGGAGTTCATTTGAACAGGGTTTGTGCTTGCATATTTTTTTCAGAGAACCAGAATACTATGACTATGGACATGGAGAGACACAGGAGGGCTATGAAAACTACGGTAAGTTTAGTTTTCTGGTCATTTAGTCCCCAAACCTTCATCTGTTGCTGATGGTTTCAAACATTTATTATAGTTACTTCAAGGGTGTGGACTGTTACAATAGATAACACTGGTGTTGCTGAACAGAACAATTCCTGTTTTTCAAGATGGTTATGGAAGTATTAATACCTACGAGTGCTGACCAATGTTATATTTATATATTTGGAAATAAAGCCTGTCACACAGGCTGTGTCTGAAATCGCATACCGTCTAGTAGGTATTTGCTTTGAGACTTTGTTACTGTTGAAGTTCATTCTATTTAGTATGAATATGACTTTTTGAATACTATGAATTTGGACATACTACACTTGTCAGGTACTCTGGCCTACTGTATATTATGGAAGTAGCCATATCTGGATGCAGCACATAGTTTGATCCATAGCATAGATGTTCACAGTTTACTTTATACTTATTTTATTACAAGTGCCCTACCAGCAATGTTTTGACTTATTTTTAAACAATTCTTGTAAATTTGCGTTTATAACCATTCTAATACAGATTTGGTGGGGCTTAGTGAAGATAATTTATTTACCTTATAGTTTTTGGTGAGCTATAGTTTGCTTGCTGTTGTTTTACCTACTCGCACTGTGTTTGATCCCGCAGCTCAAGATGACTGGAACGGGACACAGCGCCCTGCTGGCGGTGGAAAAGCTCCCACTCAGAGACCGACTAAGCCTGGGTTAAGGGAACACCCATATGGACGATACTAAGTCTGATTAGTGGAACGTCACCCAACGTGTCGCCATGACAACTGTCTCCCATGGCAGCTCACGCTTTAAGCTACCCGACAAAAGTAATTGTCCGTTTGTTTTTTTTTGGTTTTGTGTTTTTTACTCCGGACTTTTTTAAAGAAACTCTACAGAACGGCATTTGAATGCCTCAAGAATCAACATAACCTTTAGAAGGATTAAAGTTTAAACATGGCTGTTTTTTTGTTTTTGTTTGTTTGATTTATTTTAGTTTTTGCCTATCTCTTCCTCTGCTCATACCTACCCTTGCTTTTTTGCATTTGTCCATGGTAAACGTTTGTTCCAATGATTGGAAAAAGTATTTAGCTGAAAGGTAAAGCCTAACAACTGTACAGCCACTTTTTATGTGTCTCAGGACACCACTTTAATTTGTGTTACCTTAAAAACTCTGCTGAGGTGCAGTTGCAGATTCCCATGTAGGCTACATTTCAAAATTCTGTTTAATACTAGCATATCAAAAAGACCCTAAACGTAATGTATGTTTTGTAATAAGGAGTATAAATTACTGAAATGCAAAATGTCTTTAATGGTATGCCAACAGCCATTGATTATTCCTCATTTGATTTAAATAGTCTTAAAAGCTGTAAATGTAAATTTAGGCCTCAATATTTTTCCTTGTATCTTTAGAGTTTTGAAATATAGCCCAATTAGACGCTGTTGAGATGGAATGTCCTCAAATCCTTAATTTGTTAAAATAAGATGTTACTTTTCAAAACTGTTCTGTAGAATAACCCATGTTTGGCTACTTATGTTTAAAGGGAAAAAAATATATATCATCAAACAAGTCAGATTATCATGGATGACACCATGCTATATAAACTGCATGCACAAACTGCTTAAAAAGGATTTGGACAACAATCTCCACAAGGGTCATCTCTTTCTTATGTAAAGGGATACTGCAGCTAAAACCGACTCTATTGTACATAATTTAAAAAAGGAAAGAAAAAAAAAACAACCCACATCCAAACTGTACTTTACTGCCATTTAGTATTTGTATCCTCTCCATAAAATGCAGAATGACTTGTGTAAGCTTGCCTAAATAGGTAACTAAATCTGTCCAAAACATGTTTTGCAGCAGATGTCAATAAAGCCTAGATTGTTTTTTATGAAACTTTAACCTGGTTTATTTTTCTTTGTCTTCATAAAATCTGAAATGGCCTTTTAAATAACTCATAACCTTCGGTTCCAACCTTTCTTCCTCTTCAAAAACAGATTTTAAATTTAAAACAATGCATGTAGTCTGAAGACGTAAACTACACTAAAGGAGTCTGTTTAAAGTGTTTGATTTGACAATTAAAAGCACACCTTTAATGTTTCTCTCTCTTTTTATACTTAAAAAGGACCCTAGAGGTAAGACCTGTGCTCTTTAAAATAACCTGGATAGCTTCCTAATGTCTATAGAGAGAACTAAAGCATTCGATGCTTGGGTATGTATTAAACTTTTCTTGAATGACATTTTATTTTTGGTCTCACTCGGAATGGGAAATGTATTACAGCCTGAAATAATTTGAATTTAAAAGTTAAGTTATGCAGGGGCCATATTTGTCAAGACTGATGCAAAGACAAGTTGGCTGCTTTTAGTAAAGAGGACAGGAGAGGACTGTTAAACTTTAAGTGCAGCATTGTAAAGGTAACCCTAACCCTAAATTTGTACGTGAGTAGTGTTACATTTATATACTTAAAACTGTTTGGTAACAGCGTGCAATGATTTAAAAGATTCAATCGTTTAAAAACATAAAAGTAAAGTGGAAAAATATATATACATCTATACAAACACGCAGTAATAGATTTTGCTTATAATAATATTTCTGTACTAACATTTCAGAGCAGAATTATAATGCAACTCATGCTAAAAGTGCTCAGTGTCAAATCTTGATCCATCTATGTTTGTAATGCTGCTCCTGTTTTTTTTTTTCTTTTGCGATTTAATTGTTTAACGTATTGAAAAACTCAAATGTCCTACCTGAAAAAGTTACCTGGAAAAGCTTGAGTTGCATGACTCAAACTTGGCAGATTGCATGAGCTTCCTCAATACAAAATAGTTTATCATAGCAATGTTTGATTGTTCGCTCATAGCATTCTCTCTTCCCTAGGTTGTGATGCCTAGCAATTCCTGGAAATGGAACATTTAATCGAATGTCAGACCTCTCCTCAGGTCAGTTATCTTTTCCACTGAAACTGAAAACATGCATCAATGCTCGTCCATTAAGAGTTTTGTTACTTTTGTTTGTTCTCTGTAGTTTTAGTCCATCTTAATTCTGATGAGTCAAAGCTTTCCAAATCTGCATGTTCTGCAAGAAGCGCTAAATGGCACAAAGTTGCACTGCCCTAATGGGCTTGCTTCCGGTTTCCACTATATAATCAGCTCTGTAATTACTGGTAGCTCCAGTGGCTTAATGTGATGAATGGACTCATCATGGAAGATGATTTAGATGCCTTGGAGTTGTGTGTGTGCTCCTCCCTCTTGCTTGCTTTGCTGATCGACTTGTAATTCTCCTACAGGAAAAGACAAGCGTTTGTTCGCAGCGTAAGAGCAATCTTACCTTTGAACACCAGCTGCCTTTAAGGAACCATGGACAGTCTGACTGAACAGCTTCTGAACAGTTTGGAATGGCAGAAATCGATAGTCCTGTCGGCTAACGTTTGATCCAGCAACCTCTTAATGGGTTAAAGTGGAAAAGTCTTGAGCTCTTGATGCTTGTTTATGTTGGCTCTCCAGTCATAATGCAAGGTCATTTTCTCTGTACTGAAAGTTTCTCTTTACTGTTCACCTCATCAAATGCTTTCTAAGCACAGTTTACTTGAAATGTTCATCTTTAAATTGACTACTACTGCTCATGTTGGCCAAAAAATCATTTTAACAAGCTCAAAAAAATTCTGTCGGGGCTCTCCAGACGTCTACCTCAGACAATACTCCAGTGCTTTATTCTGCAAGACAAGCATGTCTTCCCCGGTTCCTCGCTCGGAGGAACGTACATGCTAATTTGGAGCTGTCTGGCCCCTATCTCTTAGCACAGACTTTGTCCGTTAATTGCCATGGTAATTTTCATCGTGCTCTTGAGTAGATCTGTTTGAATGGGTTTATGCTGGCGGAGCTCTCTTGCAGTTTGTATGAATCACAAATGAATCTTGCGTCTGATGAACCAAGCACAAAAAGCTCAGGGATTTGCAGTGTAGCGTAACGGTTGATCTAAATCATACTAACGTTTTTTTACCTTCTGGATAAAGGTCTTATTTGCCCTAATTGAGAGCTTTCCATAAATTCTGCTTTGCTCATCCCCCCCCCCCACCACCCCGGGGTTCGATCCCGTCATTCTGACCAATTACCGCCGCTGACAGTGTGTCCGTCCCCCCGCAGAGCCGCCACTGGTTGCCTACTGGCTAACAGGACTAATGCCTTATTGCATTAGAGACAAATCAGTCCTCTGCACAGATTTTAATAAGCATTAGCCACTGCTCAAGTGCCATTGAACAATTGGAAATGGGTGCACGTGGGTAGGAGGTTGACCGGTTTGTATGCAGGCTTCACTGTAATGAGAAATCGCAAAAGCAGATAATGGAAATATTTAATTCATTTCCCAGACAGATGCTTAGGGGGTAAAGAAAACTACTCTCAAGGAGGAAATGTTCAAACCCACTGCAAGCACTTAATGGGTCTTTGTTTACACGGTCATATCTGTTTGCGTCGGGCATGCGTGGCCTACTGCTGCTGGGGAAATGCCTCTGGGGTAATGTGCAAGGCATGTGTGGCGGTCTGAAACTGGGGGATTGTGGCTTGGCAGCTCTTTCCTCTTAACACACATCGTGCATGCTGAAAACAGGAAGCATGGCTTTGCGAATGCAAATGAAATGCAAAACGCTTGCTTACTCTACTGACTGTCTGTCTTCCTGCATGGCTATTTTGCTAGTTTCACACCTAACCAGTACACTCCAGGGAGTCAGGGTTTTGAGTGCACGGGGAGGAGTTGTGACGGTTTCTGGCTCGTGTCCTGGAGAACCGTGGCCGCTGGCCACCTCCTTTAGTGTGAAATGCTGGTAATAACTAAGCCTCCTAAAGGTCTCTCTGAATGTGCTGTGATGAAAATGAATTTAATCTGGCTCGAGTAATCCGTAGCCCTCCAGGACTAAAAGTTGGACACCTCCACCTTGGCTGTCGCTGAAGTAACATTCCATTGCATGTTTTCCAACATCCACACAAGCCGACGCACCTAACACAATGTCGGGAAACCATGGGAATTGCTTGGGATTAGTGATGAAATACAAGTGCCAGGAGTTTGAATACTTTTGTTTTCCTAAGGAGATTGATGAGCCTGCATTTACAGTGCCTTTGGGGTCAGAGAAACCGTTTGGTGACTTAAGGGAGCGGACAGAATTTTTCAGTCATTCTAACTTGTTTGGTAGTTGGTGCATCCAAGAGCACTCGCACACAGTCTGCATATTATGTTTGACTACAATGAGAATACTTAACTTCACAGATGTTTTTACCTGTTTTGTAATGTCAAAAATAAAAAGAAACAAGAAGTGAATTCAAGAAGTGGCTCCTATGTGTCTCTTTCAAAGCTTGTCTTCATGTCTCTTGATAGCTTGTTCTCCTCAGGGTTTCAGAATGGACTACAATAGACTCAAATACAACAATGGTTTACAGTAAAATAAATCCGTATAAAATATATAGTGCAATAACTTGAATGCTATAGAAAGAAGCAATGCACTCAATCAGCTACTGTCTTTATCAAATGCTACTGTAATTTGACTTCATTTTCATTTTAGGTGTCTGGCTCCCTTGTCTTCATTTTTTTGTTTTTAGCTATGAGATCTTTGTGCTATAAAGCAAAGGTCTTCGTCCCTGTTTTTGGAGAACCACTGGCCTGCAGAGTTTAGCTTCAACCCTATTCAAACACACCCGAACCAGCAAATCAAGGCCTTCAGGATCACTTGAGAATCATAGGTAAGTCTGTTGAAGCAGGTTGCAAATAGACTTTGCAGGATGGTTGGGCTGTATCCAGCCCAATACTAATATAGTCCCTCGATTGAAAACGAGCGAGTTGGGCAGTTGAACTTTCTGGTAATACAATAAGAGTTCATGGGTGGTCTCTATTGGCCAGCCATTGAGTGTACGTCGATTGTGCACTTGTAAATGAGGTGCATTATGGGATTGAATGAGTAAGCTCGATAATGTCCACAATGGTTTTGGACATCACTATATAAATGGATGTCCCCTTAAAGGTGGGGTAAGCAATTTCTGGTAGCCAATGTTGACATTTGAAATCACCAAAAACAAACATGCCCCTACCCCAAAAGGATCTCGCCCCTATTTTGATTGTTCTGCCCCACACATGCGTACGAAACCCAGGCAACGATTAGTTCTGTGAAACAAAACAAACCAATGTTACAAAAGAGTAATTTGTTCAGACTCAGCTGCAGCTTTAACGGCATTAAAGGGAAGGAAAAGTGAAGCTAGGTCAGACTTAATAGTAGAATTATTAGTAACACTCGATCGAGTTAATAAAATGGGCAATATAGTGGGATTTCTTTGAGTGCCAGCTCACATAGGTGTTCAGGGAAATGAAGAGGCAGATGAAATGGCAAGAAAGGCTGTAAATAGAAGTGAAGTAGAGTTGGATGTTATGTACGGAAGAGTTGAGTGTAAACGTATTATCCAAGAAGGAACAATAAAATTGTGGCAAAAAGAATGGAATGAAGGATATAAAGGCAGATATTACTATTCTGTTCAGCCAATAATAGGGCATTCTATGATTAGAAGGTTAGAAAGAAAATATAGTGTCGTTTTAACTAGATTAAGGTTGGGCCACTGTGCGTTGAACTTTGGGTTAGCAAGGATTGGAAAACATCCAGATGGCAGATGTAGATGTGGACAAGAAGAAACTGTGAGCCATGTGATAATGGAGTGTGCCATTCATCATGCAGCAAGACGTCACATGTTTTCAAAGTTATTTAAATGTGGAGTCAATGAAGTGGAGAAACAAATGTTTCTTTAAAGTCTATCCTTAGCTCAAGGATTATGAGTCGACCAAAGTCGTTATCAATTTTTTTTGCACATTACTGGACTTTACACAAGGATTTAAATGTTAAGCGGAGTATCCAGATGACCTGAGGAGGGCAGTAATACGCCGGTGATGCGTCTAGCCTGCCGCAAATTCTATAAGAAGAAGAAGAAGATACCAATGTTACACCATGTCTACACCGGACGCGAGTGGCGCGTCGCGACAAAATACTATAGAACTCATTATAATCAGTGATGCTGTCTACACCATAGATATATATTCATATCTATGGTCTACACTGGATGCGGCGTGGCACGACACGACAGATCCCCGACAGAAAACTGCTGCTGCATTCTATTTATGACGACACAAATTTCAAATGATTTTCAACGGTCGCTTTGTCGCGTCCAGTGTACTAGACAGACTTTAGCTGTTGCGGCGCAGACACGGTGTTACTCACCTATCGAGAAGAAACAAAGCAACCTCGGCGTCCGATCGCAGTGCTGGAAAGCTGATCCGATATTTACATGGGTCCTACTTCTTGCATTATTGCCTTAAGGTTTCATTTGTTCCGCAGACATTTTCCTCTTTAGTTTTTTTTTATTTCATCTCTATCTTTCTGTCGCTCGGCTCGGCTAATGTCCGTCCTGTGCACTGAACGTTCTCTCCTCCACATCATGAGTAGACACGCCCCTTACTGCTGATTGGCTACAAGTTTGTTTTGCTACTTGGCCTGAATCAGTTTTCTAAAGCGTTTTTGAAAAATCGCTTACCCCACCTTTAACTAGCTCACTATAAAAGGTTATTGCAGTGATGAGGAGCAGGGTTGAAGACTTCTGATTAAAAAGAACCATTATGGTTAAGCTCTATGAATAACATCTGTTGCATGCCGATTACCACAGAAAATCATGCTGGCTCATACCTCAGATTGTAAAATCAGCAGAAATGTGTTTGCAGTGGATGTCTGTGAGGCAGCTGTTGTATGGATTCCCCGTAGACTTCCATTGTAAGTGCAAGCAACATTCAGACAGTCTGTGTAATAACTACTTGTCCTGCTGGTTGCTGTGCTGAGCATGTTTTGAAACCAGTAAGGATGAATAAGATGTGCATCATGCGGCCCTCATGAATAATTGAAGACTCCCATTTAGTCTTGAATACTTTTAATGCACAACGAGGATGTGCTTTCACGAGCCGGGCACTTAGAAAACTATGTTTAGATAAAACCTTGATGTAAGCAGGGTCTGTTGAGCAATTGTGGTGTTTTTAATGGAATGTGTGTTTAATGCGAGTGCGCTCAGGTATCTGGTGCAACAGATGAGAATCAATGAGACATGCAGGGCACTACACAGCTTGAAGGGAAGTGGGAGCCGGTCTGCCCTTTGGCTGTGCTCAACAAGCATTAAGTTCAAGAGGAAGTATCATGTCTTAAGGTGTCTTCACACAGCCAAGTTAAGGCTGCTCTGTGCCTGCTCAGTATAAAGATGCAATGCTGCATAAAATCCCGGCTAAATTATGCCTGCTTTAACCCACCTCAGCCCTTGGTATCAAAGTATACAACTGTAATTTCTCATGTAAATGCATTCATGCCACCTCCGAGCTGTTTTAAACAGTCTGTGTAAAGCTACCAAAATGCCACTTCAGAAACCCTTCTGTGCCACATTTGCAGTGTAAATTTGGCATTATTGGTGATAAACTCTTGGTGTTGCAGAAGAACCTTTGCATCAAGTCTTCATGTATTTATAGATGAGTAATTGCTTCCATCCTTGTGTTTTCAGAGCATAGTTTGGCAAAGCTAAATGACTAAAAATGAAACTGTTCTCATTTTGACCTACAACCCACGCTGATAGTACAAATCCGCCCGCTCTCATCCTTCCTCTTCACTGGTCTGCTGCCAGTATGTTCGCTCTGAGTGAGACTGAAATGGCAGCAAAGCCTCAGGAGCGTTTTCATGTGGAAAGTAGTTGCAGTTGATGCAGTTTATGTTTTTTATCATTAGTGTTTCCAAGCAAATCCGCCTCCTCAAGCTAACCCCGGAATCACCTTTTAAAGATCGTTTCTTGTTGGGAATGTAGTTTAAAGTTTAAACCCAACGGTCTGTCACAGGTCACCGCTGCGGACTACGCTGACATGTCCGCCTATGCTGCTTCTCTTCTTTCCTGTTCACATGGAAACCCTGGGCCTCATTAGCTCATGCACTTGACTCCAGACCCCTGTCTGTGCTTCCACGGGAGCGAATCCCTCGGAAGCAATTTAGGGCTCGATATAAATCAATTTTTATGTTAAATAGTTGCCTTGGAAGGAGGTGTGGGGTGGGGAAGTGTGCGCTTTACCGAGCCGTAGGCTTCCCACACATCCCTTGTGCTTTAGTCACAACGCTGACCACCGCTGACTGTCTCTGCCTTCCTCTCTCTCGCTCTCTACAGGTCTTAGTAATTCACCTCGCTTGCTCATACTCTCCTGCCAACCTGCAGTTTTCTTCCTCTCTCTGGTCTCATGTTTGACCCTCTGCAGTTGTTGTGCCTTGCCTTTGGCTCAGCTCTAATTTTAGTAGGATCGAAGAAAGTCTAGCAGGGGAAGGGCGAGGGGTCTTTCTACGAGACTCAGACTTCCAACCTAATTACCCATCCTGTTACCTCAGTATCAGACTCCCTGCAGCAAACCCAGCCAGCGGATGCAGCGGTGACTCAGTCACCTCTCCATAGATCAGAGCTTTTCACTGAGAATAAGGGTCGGATTCCAGTGCAATTGCCATTTTGGTATTGGAGTGTCAATTGAAAACGTAATTCGGGTAAATTGGAGGTATGTTGGATATTTTA